CATTCCTCTGCCCCTTGGTATAGATGCCCCTTGGTATCTGCATTCCCCGGCCCCTTGGGGCTATCTGCATTCCACTGTGTAGTACACGGACCTCCCTGATTAGGTACAGAGTGATTGAATAGGTTTGGAGGTCCTCATATTACCTAATTTTGGTAAATCTAAAGTTGATTGTACGGTCAGATTGTAACGTGTATGGCGACCCCCTAGGAGAATTGGAAATTGCAGCCTCACAACCCATGTTACTTTATCATATATGCGAACCCTCTGCGTGTCCGTGTTCTCTTGAATTCCTCCTAAAGAAATCATGACATCAGAGAACCTTGAAAAAGGCATACAAGAAAGCAGTGCGTCATCTTATGTGTCATATCGGTCATTGTTCTGCGATGGCGGAAGGTTTGGCAATGTTTGTACCTCAGTCAGCGTGCTGTGGGATTAGAATGAGCTAAATACAGAACAGAATGTGATATTATGTAATAATGTTCATGAAGGGAACGGAAGGGACCAAGAAGGCAAAATACTGCATGTGCAGAATAAATAACTGAGAATAATAGATGTAGGTGTGACAGGCATAGATCGTGTCATAGAGTGGATTATATCATATATACAATGTAATACTGTATTGTAATACTGTATATCAATATATGATGTAATAGATTGTAAAATGTAATCAAATGTATATTGTAATATAATAAGTTGCTTTCATTTGCCATCAGAACTGTATTAAATATATAAGAAGTGGCCAAGTATTTTTTTTTTTTTTCTATGTGTTGGATAGTTCGGACAGATGGAACCTCGGGCAGGTTTTAACTGCTTTCTGTGTCACCGTTTGGAAGATTTTCCCTCACTTCCTGTGTGGTCACCAGAACAGGAAGTGAGCATCACTGAGCATGACTGCACCCTGCCCATTGGTTGTAGGCCTTATGGAGTGTTCAGCTGTATGATAGATGGAGCTGCTTTGCATGAGGCTGCCTGGTGATATTATTAGAAAGGTGCTGGATATGGATCATTTGTGTACGAGGCAAATTGTGTTTATGTAAAAGCCACATGTTGTTCTAGACGGATATTTACATGACGAATGACACAGTTTCCAGCACTAATACACACAGACACACACACACACACACACACACACATATATATATATATATATATATATATATATATATATATATATACACACACATATATATGTATATATATATAGATATCTATAACGATATATAGATATATATATACTGTATATATACACTTCTCAAAAAAAATTAAAGGAACACTTTTTAATCGGAGTCTAGCATCAAGTCACTTTAAACTCCTGGGAAATTGATCTGGTCAGGTAAGTAGCAGAGGGGGTTGTTAATCAGTTTCAGCTGCCTTGGTGTTAATGTAATTAACAACAGGTGCACTACATGGGCAACAGTGAAACAACCCCCAAAACAGGAATGGTTTTACAGGTGGAGGCCACTGACATTTTTTTTCCCTTCTCATCTTTTCTGACTGTTTTTTTCACTAGTTTGCATTTGGCTAGGGTCAGTGTCATTACTGGTAGTATGAGGTGATACCTGGACCCTACAGAGGTTGCACAGGCAGTCCAACTCCTCCAGGATGGCACATCAATACGTGCCATTGCCAGAAGGTTTTCTGTGTCTCCCAGTGCAGTCTCAAGAGCATGGAGGAGATTCCAGGAGACAGGTACCTGACTGGTATCTGCTCCTTTGTGCAAGGAGGAACTGGATGAGCACTGCCAGAGCCCTACAAAATGACCTCCAGCAGGTCACTGGTGTGAATGTCTCTAACCAAACAATCAGAAACATGGAGGTGGCCTGAGGGCCCGACGTCCTCTAGTGGGCCCTGTGCTCACTGCCCGGCACCATAGAGCTCAGTTGTCATTTGCCATTGAACACCAGAATTGGCAGGTCCGCCACTGGCGCCCTGTGCTTTTCACAGATGAGAGCAGGTTCACCCTGAGCACATGTGACAGACATGAAAAGGTCTGGAGAAGTCTTGGAGAACGTTATGGTGCCTGTAACATCGTTCAGCATGACCGTTGTGGTGGTGGATCAGTGATGGTCTGGGGAGGCATATCCATGGAGGGACGCACAGACCTCTACAGGCTAGACAATGGCACCCTGACTGCCATTAGGTATCAGGATGAAATCCTTGGAGCCATTGTCAGACCCTACACTGGTGCAGTGGGTCCTGGGTTCCTCCTGGTGCAGTGGGTCCTGGGTTCCAGCTGGTACACAACAATGCCCGGCCTCATGTGGTGATAGTATGCAGGCAGTTCCTGGAGGATGAAAGAATTGATGCCATTGAATGGCCCCCACCCTCGCCTGACCTAAATCCAAATGAGATGCAAAAGTTGTTCTCATCAGAAAAGAGGACTTTGGACCACTGAGCAACAGACCACTGACTTTGTTCGTTGTTCAGGAGCGGCTTGACAAGAGGAATTTGAAGCCCATGTCCAGGATACGTCTGTGTGTGGTGGCTCTTGATGCACTGACTTCAGCCTCAGTCCACTCCTTGTGAAAGTCCCCAACACTTTTGAATGGCCTTTTCCTGACAATCCTCTCCAGGCTGTGGTCATCCCTGCTGCTTGTCCACCTATTTCTTCCACACTTTTCCCTTCCACATAACTTTCTATTAATGTGCTTTGATACAGCATTTTGGGAACATCCAACTTCTTTTGCAATTCCCTTTTGAGGCTTTCCCTCCTTACGGAGGGTGTCAATGATGGTTTTCTGCACAACTGTCAGGTCAGCAGTCTTTCCCATGATTGTGATTCCTACTGAACCAGACTGAGACCATTTAAAGGCTCAGGAACCCTTTGCAGGTGTTATGGCTTAATTAGCTGATTAGAGTGGGACACTTTGAGCCTAGAATATTGCACCTTTTCACAATATTCTCATTTTCTGAGATTGTGGATTTGGGGTTTTCATGAGCTGTAAGCCATAATCATCACAATGATGACAAATCACGGCTTGAACTATCTTGCTTTGCATGTAATGAGTCTATCTCATATATTAGTTTCACCTTTTAAGTTGCATTACTGAAATAAATGAATTTTGCACGATATTCAAATTTTTTGAGTTTCAACTGTATGTAAAGCGCTGCGTAAATTGACAGCGCTATATAAGTACCTGTAATAAATAAATAATCTACTGGGCGCAGGCTGGGCCAAGAGGTAGGTAGCAGAGGCATTCACCTTGGGTGCTACAGCAGGAGAGGGGCACAAAAAGGGCAGAACCTGCAATGTATTTTGCTGTAGAAGCTCACAGCTCATGGGGGAAGGAGGGTAACTTTTCTCCTTGGGTGTTAAAGGACTTTGTCCCAACTAGGTGATTTTATTCTCTGGCATCCTCCAAACGCTCAGATTAAAGACCCTTTAATAGAATGAGTGACGCTAAGCAGTTCAGTGGTGCCCATGTGGTTGGCAGGGTCAGGACAGGACGTGACTCCGAGCACTGACTTGGCATGATAATGGTGGTGGATCTAATTTCTTGTTCCTGGTGCCTCACCCCGTTCGTCAGTGGTCAGCATACCTGAAGGGTGGTCACATTACACAGCTCTTGCCATACATTATATTAAGTCAACAAGTCTGACCCTTCACCCAAATCCTGCCTGCTCTCACATTATCCCTCACTGAGATTAGATAAGGAAACTAGACTATGAAGGTATAATTTCAGGGGTCCCACAGGACAACCTTGAAGGTTCAATAATCAATTGAAATTATATTCATTCAGTGGGATTCTTCTGAGAATCACATTTTATGTTGTCTCAGAACAAAGCAACTCTGACTGTTGGGAGCCCTGGAATCAGTACACTGATAGTGGGGTCCCAGAAATCAATACAGTGATAATGGGGGTCTCAAACATTGGTACACAGATAGTGGAAGTCCCAATAATCAATACACTGATAGTTGGGGTCAAAGAAACTGATACAATGAATGAGGTTCTCATAAATCAGAACACATAGTGGCATCCCAGAAATCAATACACAGACAGTACTTCTAGAAATATGTATGCTTATAGTGGAGTTACCAGAAATAGGTATGCTAATAGTAGGGTCCCAGAAATCTGTACACAGATTGTGGGGGCCCCCAGTAATTGACATAGTTTGGGTCCTATAAATTGGTATACTGATAGTGGAGGTCCCATAAATCAGCACAAAGATTGTAGGGGTTCCAGAAATTAGTACACTGATATTTGGGGTCCCAGAAATTGGTCCACTGACAGTGAGGTTCCCATACATCAGTACACTGACATTGGGGGTCCCAGAAAATCAGTACACATACGTTTGGGGTCCTAGAAGTTAGTATCCTTTTAGAGGGGCTTCCATAAATTGGTACTGATAATAAAGTTAGAAATCAGAACACAGATAGCGGGGGTCCCAGTAAATAATACAATGACAGTTGAGGTCCTAGAAATTGGTATACTGAGGGTAGTGAAGGTTCCAGAAATCACTACACAGACAAAGAGGGGTGTCAGAAATCAGTATACCAATAGTGAAGGTCCCAGAATTTCATACACCGATAGTGAAGGTCTCAAAGATCAATAAATAGATAGTAGGGTTCCCAGAAATGTATACATTGGCAGATGGAGTCTTAGAAATGGGTATCCTGATAATTGGGATCCCAGAGATCTGTTTTTATTATTTTTTTTAATCCAAGTATAGCTATAATGCAGCAGGTTGGTCCACTGCATGGCATCAACATACTGCCGGAGATCTGGGAACACCAGTTGCTGAGCCATGTGAGTATGAAGACTGCAGTGACACCCACAAGCACATATGTGAGCATCCTGAAATCTAGCTCTAATGATATCAAGCTCAGGTTAAGATAGATTGGGTGCACCGTCTGACTTTCCTACTGTAACACTTTCTAGAAAGTTAGTTCATTGGCTGACTTTCCTTGTCCTATCTTTAATACGACCTTTATTACATGTTATGTTTTTAGGTGACCCATTAAGAAGTGACGTCTTAATTAACCAGAGAGTCAATACAACATGGTTGGACTGAAACCTTCTGAGCTTCCTCCTACCCTCACGGTGAAGTTTGTTGGTGCTGGCACAGCGGCCTGTATAGCAGATCTGGTCACCTTCCCCCTAGACACTGCCAAAGTCAGACTGCAGGTACGGCATGACGGGAAGTTCCCACTAACATTGTTCGCACTGGTTTGTTCCAGGTGATCTGGTTTCCTCCCACAATCCAAAAACACCCTGGTGGATTTATTGACTTCCACCATAAACTGGTCCTGCGGTGTCCAGGTGACATTGGTAGGGACAATGGGGACTCTAAAGTCCCTGAGGGATCTTTCTATTCTCTGAAACCAGTTTACCTAAAAGTCTTTGGTAGCCTCTGTTTCATGGGGACTCTATTGGTGAGATCATAGGATCTCTGCATTGAGTCCAGGATCTTCACATCTGATGTGTGAGGGGCTGGAATTTTTATATTATGGAAAATATGAACACACAAAGGTGGGCAGAAACATCAAAAGCTCCAGGTTGACAAGAATAGAGTCAGACATTATGCAAGAAGGTTTCCTTCTTGGGGTATCCAAGACATACAAGAAACCAGGGGCTGGCATAGCCCACCAGGCTCCATATATAATCACTTTTGGGTGGACTGGCCTATACTAATGCTATTGCAGCAGGGGCGGACTGACAACTCATGATGCCCCCGGGCAATAGGGGATCATGGGGCCCCTGTGTCCTTGCCCAAACTCAAAAAAGCCTATGAAAAAGGTACCAGGGGCATCTCATGGGGCCCCCTACTGACCCCGGGCACACAAAACTACTAGACTCTTGATAACACTTGGTGGGCTTGTCCCCATCCACCAACAGCACAGGATCTTTGGCCAAATTGGGTTACTTTACATAATTACATTATTCTCAAGCACAATGTCCCGTGCCATGAGCAGGTTAACATTTCAGGTGAGAACTAGGATTGTGAATCTGTGCATGTTCCTAGTTCCCAGACCCAGCTGTTTAGAGACCCAGGAACACAAGCTTGAAATGCCTGCTAAATTGGATGGTCAAGGGCATCGTTTATGGAGCAGCATATCCAATCAGAACATAGTTCTAGCTCTTTTAGTATAGTGCTTCAAGCAAAAAGCCATCAATATGGCCACATGGCTCTAATACCAAATTTGGAAACTTTCCAAAAGCTGGACATCACATTGTCGCTCACAGAATTGGTATTAGTGTCCAGCTAAAGCATCAAATGAGTTTCTGGACAGTCTGTGCTTTACACTTTAGATCAGTGATCTCCAAACTACGGCCCAGGGGTTGGATGCAGCCCTTTACTTGCCTTTTGTTGGCCCGTGGGGCATTTTTCCTCCCATTGATACAAGACACTATTCCTTCCACTGACACCAACAATGGGGTATAATTACTGCTATTGTCATAAATGGGGCACTATTTCTCTCATTGACATCAATGATGGGACACTATTACTCAAACTGACACCAATGATGTGGAATTATTCTCTCAAATGACACTAATGATGAGGCACTATTCCTCCCACTGACACCACTGATCGCTCACTTTTCTTCAACTAACAGCAATGATGGGGCACTATTCCTCAACTGACATCAATGATCAGGTACTATTCCTCCAACTGACACCAATAATGGGGGCATTATTCCTCCAACTGACACCAATGATAAGGCACTATTCCTCCCACTGACACCAATGATCAGGCACTATTTCTCCCACTGACACCATCGATCGGGCACTATTCCTCCAACTGAAACCAATGGCAGGGCACTATTCCCCCCCCCCCCCCCCCCCATACCAAAGATTCGTTGTTTACTCCCACTGAAGACAGGACAATTTCTACTCCCAATGGCCACAGTCTAGCCCCCCCTAATGTCCAGTAAACCGGCCCTTTGTTTAGAAAGTTTGGAGACCCCTGCTTTAGATGATAGGCTTTAAGATTAACCAAACATACAATTTGAGCACACAGTTGGGTAATAAGGGGAGGAGCAGTTATTATTAGGCCCTCCATATAATGTCTATATGAATTGTATTCCCATCTGCAGATACAAGGAGAATGTTTGGCCGAGCCCAGCAACCGGGTGGCACACTACAAGGGCGTGATGGGCACTATCACCACCATAGTAAAAATGGAAGGTCCTAGCAGTCTCTACAATGGCCTGGTGGCTGGTCTGCAGCGACAAATGACCTTCGCTTCTATCCGCATTGGGATGTATGACTCGGTAAAGCAGTTCTACTGCCGCCATTCTGAAAGTGAGCTCCACTTCTATGCTAATGTCATCAGGCTTCATATTTACAAGAGTATGAGGAAAAGAAAGACAAGAACACTTGCCCACAGCAACCAATTAGCTGCTCTGTGTTATGTTTCCAGTGCAGTATGGAAGAACAAAAGAGAGAATATGATTGGTTACTATCGGCAATACAACATAAGCAGCCTACAGCTTTGGGTGGAAATTGTAGGCCTTGCCTATGAAAAATTATTATTATTATTATACAGGATTTATATAGCGCCAACAGTTTTCTTAGTGCTTTACAATATAAAAATGATGTCTAGAGGGAGGTGCCTATGTGTTAACCAATCATATTACAGATGTTAAAAATTGGTTGCTATGGGTAACATGGATGCTATCCTTAAGCATGCTCTCTTTATTCGTGGCCCATTGTTCTTAGGAACGCTTAGACATTTTCTTACACTACCCTTGTATAATAAACAGGATGGGTAGGTAAGGTTAGCATGGCCCTGGATTTTTCAGTTATTAAGGTCGAAGTGTATATTATGAAAGCTTTATTTAAATAATTCTACACTAAATTGGTAAGCCACTCCCACACACCCTTAAGCCCCACCGATTTTGGTGAGATATGTTGCCATGGCCAGTTTGAGATAGAGAGGCTGCTGGGTGAGAGTTGGGTGTCACAATGGTGTGCTGAGGTTCTGAATAACAGCTTCTCTGTCAGACCTAACTCTCCTACATCCTAATCTCCTAGTTGTCATTGTAACAGGCAAACATCATGAAAGCACAAAGGACCATAGTCCAGTTTATTTATAAACTCAAAACACACTAATACCTTCATAAATGGAAGAACCAACATCTATCATCCATTTCCTATTCCTTCGAAGTATTATGTTTCTAACTTGATTTAAACCAGATCTATTGTTTATTGATCACCCCATGTTTCCCTGCACATCTCACCCCCTGAACATCTTGAATATTGCTTTGGGATCCCACACCAGTTACATGACCTCAAGCCAAGGCATGATCTCTGCTAAAACAGAAAATATGAGTTCTGACTGGCAAAGATCAAAAAATTCCTAGACCAATGTTTCTCGATACCTTATTAACATGGAGGAACCTTTAAAATAACTTTCTGGTCTCAGGGAAGAGGGAAGTTCCCCCCTTAGAGATAGCTATAAAGATGATTGGTGTCATTGGTTACTTATCCGAGAAACAGAAATCACTAAATGCTCAAGGAACACTCAGCAAACTCTTGAGGAACCCTGGCTGAGAACGTCTGGCCTAGAAGGTGGTAATGGACAATCTGTGATGGGACCCCAGAGAATTTGTCTCTAAACCAAAACTTACGTATTTCAAGATGTTAACTTTTGTGATTCTTGTGGATCAGAGTGGGCAGGATTATGGGGTTTGGGGAGAGGGGTGAGAATAGGTCCATTTTAAAGGGTCAAATCTCGTTGCCACTAAAACGGTTGGCATGTACTTGAAAGGCAATTAACAGAACATCATCCAATCTCTTCTACCAGATTCTGGTGTGGGTTGTCGACTCCTGGCGGGATCCACCACAGGTGCACTGGCGGTCACCTGCGCTCAGCCGACAGATGTGGTTAAAGTGAGGTTCCAAGCACACATCAAAGTCATAGATGGTAGCAGGCGCTACAATGGGACAATGGACGCCTACAAGACCATCGCTAAGCAGGAGGGGGTGCGAGGACTCTGGAAAGGTAGCAGCACACATCACTGAACAGACAAGACATCTGCGCTATAGTAAAATGAGATATAAAGAAAGACTAAGAATATGATAAGAAGTGGCCACATTCCTTTACAAATATCCCATAAGCTTTCATTCAAATTATGATTTATATCGCTTAAACCATTTCATTCTCACTTTTTGTGCAAAACTAAACAAATTAACAAACAAATGGAATAAAAGTTTAAATATTAATAACTACAAAAACAGAAAAAAAATCAGCAGGAAAATAATAGTTATGGGGAGAAGGGAGAGAAGGAGTGATTTAGGGCTGACTAAGCTAAATGAAGGGTTGATAAGGGGTTAAATAGGAGCAAGCTTTTTTTTTTTTTAACTTGTCTAGTTCCTTTAATTGACATCCTAGTAGTCAGAATATCAGATTGAATCTCATCACTTTGATATGCAGATGAATGAAATGAAGTAGATACAAAAATAATGCTGTTACTTTGTAACCCTCTATTATTCACCTGAACGATGTTTACAAACACTTCGTCAGATTCCATTTTTTTTAACAGGAGCAGCTATTATCTTAGGCTCACATTTATACGAATTTATGTGAATTGGGCACAGATTCATAAAAAGAACATTGGGGAACTGGAGAAAGTGCAAAGAAGGGCAACCAAACTGATAAGAGGCATGGAGGAGCTCAGCTATGAGGAAAGATTAGACAAACAGAATTTTTTCTCTCTTGAGAAGAGGAGATCAAGGGGGATATGATCTCCATGTATAATACATAAGGGGGGGGTGTGATCTCCATGTATAATACATAAGGGGGATATGATCTCCATCTATAATACATAAGGGGGGATATGATCTCCATGTATAATACATAAGGGGGGATATGATCTCCATGTATAATACATAAGGGGGGTATGATCTCCATGTATAATACATAAGGGAGGATATGATCTCCATGTATAATACATAAGGGGGATATGATCTCCATGTATAATACATAAGGGGGGGTATGATCTCCATGTATAATACATAAGGGAGGATATGATCTCCATGTATAATACATAAGGGGGATATGATCTCCATGTATAATACATAAGGGGGGGATATGATCACCATGTATAATACATAAGGGGGGATATGATCTCCATGTATAATACATAAGGGGGATATGATCTCCATGTATAATACATAAGGGGGATATGATCTCCATGTATAATACATAAGGGGGGATATGATCTCCATGTATAATACATAAGGGGGGATATGATCTCCATGTATAATACATAAGTGGGATATGATCTCCATGTATAATACATAAGGGGGGATATGATCTCCATGTATAATACCTAAGGGGGATATGATCTCCATGTATAATATATAAGGGGGGGATATGATCTCCATGTATAATACATAAGGGGGGATATGATCTCCATGTATAATACATAAGGGGGATATGATCTCCATGTATAATACATAAGGGGGGATATGCTCTCCATGTATAATACATAAGGGGGATATGATCTCCATGTATAATACATAAGGGGGGATATATGATCACCATGTATAATACATAAGGGGGATATGATCTCCATGTATAATACATAAGGGGGGATATGATCTCCATGTATAATACATAAGGGGGGGATATGATCACCGTGTATAATATCTCCATGTATAATAAGGGGGGATATGATCTCCGTGTATAATACATAAGGGAGGGATATGATCTCCATCTATAATACATAAGGGGGGATATGATCTCCATGTATAATACATAAGGGGGGATATGATCTCCATGTATAATATATAAGGGGGGATATGATCTCCATGTATAATACATAAGGGGGATATGATCTCCATGTATAATACATAAGGGGGGATAAGATCTCCATGTATAATACATAAGGGGGATATGATCTCCACGTATAATACATAAGGGGGGATATGATCTCCACGTATAATACATAAGGGGGATATGATCTCCACGTATAATACATAAGGGGGATATGATCTCCACGTATAATACATAAGGGGGATATGATCACCACGTATAATACATAAGGGGGGATATAAATCTCCATGTATAATACATAAGGGGGGATATGATCTCCATGTATAATACATAAGGGGGGATATGATCTCCATGTATAATACATAAGGGGGGGTATAATGATCTCCATGTATAATACATAAGGGGGGATATGATCTCCATGTATAATACATAAGGGGGGATATGATCACCATGTATAATACATAAGGGGGGATATGATCTCCATGTATAATACATAAGGGGGGGATATGATCTCCATGTATAATACATAAGGGGGGATATGATCTCCATGTATAATACATAAGGGGGGATATGATCATCATGTATAATACATAAGGGGGATATGATCTCCATGTATAATACATAAGGGGGATATGATCTCCATGTATAATACATAAGGGGGGGATATGATCTCCATGTATAATACATAAGGGGGGGATATGATCTCCATGTATAATACATAAGGGGGGGGATATGATCTCCATGTATAATACATAAGGGGGGATATGATCTCCATGTATAATACATAAGGGGGGGATATGATCTCCATGTATAATACATAAGGGGGATATGATCTCCATGTATAATACATCAGTGGTTCATATAGTGAACTCGGTGTAGAGCTATTCACCCTGAGGTCATCACAGAGGACAAGGGGGCTCTCTATGTCTGGAGGAAAAGAAATGTAATCTTCAAACACAGAAAGGTTTCTTCACAGTGAGAGCTGTGAAAATGGGGAGTAGACTCCCTCAAGAGTTGGTTCTGGCCAGCTCAGTGGATTGCTGTAGGAAAGTCCTGGATTCTTTCTTGGATACACAGAATATAACTGGATATAACATTTATAGGTAAAGTTGATCCAGGGAATATCTGATTGCCTCTTGGGGGATCAGGAAGGAATTTTTTTCCCAGCAGAAGCAAATTGGATCATGCTTTGCTGGGTGTTTTTGCCTTCCTCTGGATCAACTGTGGGTATAGGATTATAACTTTTTTTTTTTTTTTTAATAGTTGAACTGAATGGATTTTTGTCTTTTTTCAGCCAGACTAACTATGTAACTATACTATACGGTCTCTCTGCGGCCATGTTTGCCTGAGCACATCATCTCATTCATTTGAACGGCCTGCTGTACCTGCGGGAAACGCAGGCAAATGTTCCCTGCACCTTTTTTAAAACTGCAGCGGTGCTCTGTGTTTCCACACATAGGAGAACGTATCGCAGTTTCGAATGCGTGGGAGTGTCATTACGAGTAATGCCACCGCTGCGTTTCTTCTGCTGGTGCCGGAATGCATGCAATTTACACACAGTCCCGCACCCATTTAGGGGTGAACCTAGCCTAACAGCTGCTGTATTTACACAGCAACTCCCAGCTGTAATTTTGACAGCGTTGAATTGCTAGCAAGGGTGAGAGCGTTGCAGCAGCAGACACAGAAGGATAGGGTGTACTACACATGTCCAGTGTACTTCATTTACATTTTTTTTGGGAGTGTGTAGCACATCCAGTGCTCGCCATGGGTTAATCTACTTAAAGTGCATCTAAAGCCTATTTTTTTTTTGGATGGAGTCTAAAACCATTAGAACCAATGTCACATTTTTATTGCCGTCTGACTCCCTGTTAGAGAGATTGACCCTCTTTATTTACTTTGGTAACCATTTTCACTAAAGCTTAAAGTGAGAGATCATGCAAAATATTGAGCTGTCACCAGGAATAGAGGGGGAAACCTTCCAATGGGAACACTTGCTCTGGTGAAAACTGTCAAAGAAAGGATTTCCCTCAGTTTGAACAGATTTCCTTGCACTTCCGGATGTGTGCTCAGGACAGGAAGTGAAGGGAAATCACCACAATGGGACACAGATGACTAAAGAAACTTGACATGACTTTTAACCATTTCCTACACTATCCAAAAAAAAAAAAATACTGATAAGTCTTGATAGCCACCCGGACTGGGAAAGGTTGGGTTAACCAAGCAGGTCTATTGCATTGCGAGCATGCTGTCATTCAACAGTTTAAAAATGTTGACTTGAGGAAGTAGCAGAGTGAGGACCTCATTAGTCCACTGCTTCTCCTTTATGGTCCAATAAGTATGGCTGTGTAACCAAGCTTGCTATAACTACAGCAGAAAATATGTGAGATTACTGACCCTGGTTGTGCAGGGACACCTGGATCACAAGACTGGCTGAACACAGTTATAGTTAAATTGGTTTGTGTACATGGATTTCAATTCTGTATTTAGCTGTTGGTCTGGACATCAGCTTTGAATGCATAAATCAGGAGTCTCCGAACTTTCTAAACAAAGGGCCAGTTTACTGTCCTTCAGATTTTGAGGGAGCCGGACCGTGGCCAGTGTAATGAGAAAATGCCCTTGCTTCGATGCCTCATCATTGGCATTAATGGGAACAGTAAAGCCCCATTGTTAGTGTCAGTAGGAGGATTAGTGCCCCATCATTGGTGTCAGTGGGAAGAATAGTGACCCACCATTGGTGTCAGTGGAAGGAATAGTGCCCCATCATTGGTATCAGTGGGAGGAATAGTGCCCCATCATTGGTGTCACTGGGGGGAATAGTGCCCCATCATTGGTATCAGTGGGAGGAATAGTGCCCCATCATTGGTGTCACTGGGGGAATAGTGCCCCATCATTGGTATCAGTGGGAGGAATAGTGCCCCATCATTGTTGTCAGTGGAAGGAATAGTGCCCCATCATTGTTGTCAGTGGGGGAATAGTGCCCCATCATTGGTATCAGTGGGAGGAATAGTGCCCCACCATTGGTATCAGTGGGAGGAATAGTGCCCCATCATTGGTGTCAGTGGGAGGAAAATAGTGCCCCATCATTGGTGTCAGTGGGAGAAAAACCCCCATAATTGTTATCAGTGGGAGAAATAGAGCCCCATCATTGTTGTCAGTGGAAGGAATAATCCCCCATCATTGTTATCAGTGGGAGGAATAGTGCCCCATCATTGGTGTCAGTGGGA